TCTACTTTGTAAACTACATTATTCTTTTGTATCTTTTCTGTGCTATCTTTATGAACTTCAATAATTTTATTAAATTTATTGATGCTTCTAATTCCTATGGTGAATACATCTTTGTTTAAGCTACCAGTAATAGAATTTGTAACTTTCTGAATATAAGGTAATATAAAAAGTTTCTTATTAAGAGGTTCACAATGTGTAATTTGATTTTTATTGTGTGATGTATGTAATTTATAATTTAATAAATGATCAATTCTTTTTTGTATTTTACTGAATATAAGATGTAAGGGATAATTGTTATTTAATAATGTTGTGATACAAAACTCAATGTTTTTAATATGAAATTCTGGATTAGACAGTAATAATGCTCTATCAACCATGCCATAAATAACACCTATTTTATGTGATAAAGGATGATTTGAAAAAAAATGATAGACATCTTCCAGAGAAGGTATCTTTATGATACCAATTTATTTTTAAAATGTTGTCAATGTTAATGTTTAAATCTAAATAGTTTAAAGATCTGTTGTTTTCTATTTCGAATGTAAATTGCAATCTATTATGTATGCTATTAAATACTTCTAAAACTGTGTAAATTGAATCTTTATGTACCGTCATGATAATATCGTCCACGTATCGAAAATAAAACAAATCGTTTAGTTGCAAAATATTTAACGCTTTTTCCTCTAAGTCCTGCATGACAATATGAGCTATGATGAGAGATAATGGTGACCCCATAGGAGTTCCATACTTGTTTGTATATTTTGTTATTAAAAACAAAGTATGTCGAATCAAAAATAAAATTGATAGTTTTGATAAATTTTCTTCTAAAGGAATCTTAGTGTTAGCCATGATTGTTTGCCATCTTTTCTTTATACTATCAATAGCAAGATCCAGAGGAATATTAGATGAACATCGAAACAACATCTAAGGAAATCAATACGTCTGAATCATTAATCTGTTTGCCCTCCAATTTTTTTAAATAAATCGAAACTGTTTTTAATATATTTACTATCATAAGTTAAGCTTTTTGAAATGATGTTATGTAGATGCTATTCATCAAAGAACAGAAAAATAGAATTAACGCACAAAAAGATACGGAAAAATTAGACAAAACTTATGATCATTTGTTTAGGTCATTACCCTCAGAATAATATACCATATATACATTATATGATATGTCAAACATAGAGGTTTGTTTTCTTTTATTCTTGTGATAACTGTCGTTCAGTCAGACCATTTTTCCACTTACATTGTTTCACTTGAAGGATGAAAATTATACATAGCATCTAATTTGACGTAAGTTTAATAGTTTCAATTTGATCTATAATTTTCAAGTTGTTTCCTAATATACAATAATGTTGATTCAGAATTACGATGCGGATAATTTTCTTTGTTCGGCTTGAGAAACAATTTTCATATTTTACTTGCTGACTCGATGGATAGTTTGAATGATTAACCGTACTTCGTTTATCGTTGCGTTTTATTTTGTCATGTATCATTTATAAAGGAGACTGAAGAGGACTTATGTATAAGTTGAAACGTTTCTCATTTTTAATTATAGAATATTTTAATAAAAATTGTCATCATTTAATTTGTTGGTTTGTTTTAATACCGTAATTTAATATCATTATTTTCGTTGTTTTTAAAACATAACAAGCGTTGTTTTTGTAATTACATTTTTATTTGTTTATAAGTTTCTATATTCAATCTATTCTATTCATCTTCCTCCTTTCCTCCCCAATGGCATCACTCAATAGTTCACCTCATCCCAAAACCCCACGGCAAAGGATTTCGACCAATTTCTCTTACCTCCTGTGTCCTCAAAATCTTTGAACGTATGATCCTCAATCGACTTTGTTGGCTATCTGAATCCCCCTCCTCCCCTCTCCCTTTTGTCTTTCCGGATAATCAGTTTGGATTCCGTAAATTTAGATCTTGCCAAGACAACTTGATTTCCTTTACTGCTCATGTTCATACCTCTTTCATCAAAAAACACGATACTATTGCGGTCTTTATAGATCATTAAATCAGCTTTTGACAATGTTCTTCCGCATATTCTAATTCAGGATCTCATTTCTTTGGCTTCCCCCTTTCTTTATCAACTTTATTAAAAATCTTATCTCAACATGCAATATTCAATTTATCATTCAAGGCTCTCTCTCTCCCCATTTACGTATCTCGCAAGGGCACTCTCCAAGGCTCAGTTCTCAGTCCGACTCTCTTTAACATATATCTCAGAGAAATAAATGACCATCTTTATAAAGATACTTCTCTCCTATAATATGCTGATGACATTGTTATTTATTTCTCTAACTTAAATCTAACTGATTCACTTATTTCTATTAAGAACTCCTTGAACAGCCTTCAGCAATATTTAAGCGATAAAGGCCTTGAAATCTCCTCAAACAAAACTCAATTAATGGTCTTTACTAAAAAAACGAAAACCTTGTCTTGATAACATCAGCATCACCCTCCAAGAGACCACCATTTACCCTTTGCGTTGCGTGAGATTTCTGGGGGTCTATCTGGATCCGAAACTCTCGGGATCCAAACATATGGAATATGTTATTTCCAAAGGCAAACGTGTCAACTCTGTTTTGTCATCGTTGAGGGGAACATGGTGGGGCGCTCACCTCTATTCTCCTTAACATTGATAAAGCTCTGATTCGCGCATCATTTGAGTACTCTTCTATGATCTTTTCTCTTAAGAACAATCAGCTAACTACGAAATTACAGCGAATTCAAAACCAGGCTATTCGTCTTGCTTGTGGATATCGTATTTCTACTCCGATAAATGTTATTCACGCAGAAACTATGATTCCACTTCTCAAACACAGATTTGAGCTACTAGCTGCCAAGTACTTCCTTAAAATAATTTCGCTGCGCGACCATCCGGTCACTATCAAAATGCATCAACTGTGCGACTCTCTCCCCTACTCCTCTCAATCTTCTTATCTCAGTAATCATTTTCCAGCAGTCTTTAAACGCATGTGGTCTCACAAGCATTTCCTTTATATTTCCTCTGCGCTTCCTTCTTACCTTAATTCTTTTACCTCTACTGTCACTACTACTTCCTATCTCACTCTCTCTCGAGATATCCTTGACAACCTATCCGACATTCCTCCTCATACTCTCCAGCTCATCTTTGCTGAAACTTTTGCAAATTTGCGAGCAACTTCACTTGCGAGAAATGCCGAACAGACGATTGGTCTGAACGCAGCCGGGAGCCGTAATGCGCGACGAAACGCGGGGCGACGCTGCGCGGAGCCTCCGCTTACCGGTAAAACGCGTCATATCTCGAAAATTATTGCTCTACCCATCTTGAACATTAGAAACTTTTTTGTTCAGAAAGAGTCGTACTATTTTATAAAATTTTTTAAATTAAAATCAAAATACGCGATCTTTGAAAAAAAAAGACTTTTAACATTAATCTTGAAAAATTGTAACTACCTAACTTTCGATTTGCACGGCGTTAGCTCGTCGGAATATTTGTCCGAGGATTTGAAAGAGGTTCGATCGGTGGGAGAGTGTCAGGCAAGTAAAGTCTCAGACAGGTGCGTATAATAACCAAACAATTCACTTTATTTAAATTCGACGAAATGGCTTATATTCTGCCGGAACGAAATATAAGAAACGGCTTAGCGCCGAGACAATCGTCAGGTATAGCGGCGTGCGTGTGTGTGTGTGTGTGTGTGTGTGCGTGCGTGTGTTGTGTGTGTACGAAGCGCAGTCGGTGCGGTGTTTATTTGACACTGCAGAGCGGGTGTGTGCGTGTGTGTGTGCGTGTGTGTGAATCGCAATCGGCGCGGTGGATACTGCGAGCAGTGAGTGTAAGAGCGTGAGCCGCGGGTAGGAATGCGAGGGAGCAAGTGAGAGCGAGTGAGCGGTGTTGCTCGAGACGATATTATGACGGGTCGCAGCAAAAAACGGACGGCTCACTATGCTCCCTTTTTCTTCCTCGCGGTCTCGGCTAGCGAGGCTGATCAGCTGTGCCTGGCTTATATTTAGAACTGTCAATACGGCAGTCTGTAATGCGCGACGCGTGGTTGTTCGGGCGTTATCGCGGATTCGCGTAGATGCGCTAAGACGGGCGATGACCAGCGGCCGAGAACGCTCGGCAGAGGTGGAGAACTCTCCACCCCGGGCGACTGCTGGTCGATCGCAGTGCGTGATGCAGTGGTTGTTGCACGTTGCACCGAGACGGCTGCCGAGAACGCTCGGCAGAGGCAGAGCACACTCTGCCCCTCGGTTCTTGCCGTTCGGTGCACTAGGATGCCTGATTAGAGACCTGTCGAGAACTCTCGACGGAGCTAGAGTACGCTCTGGCCCGTTTTCTCGGTGTCGTGTAGGCTTTCTAGGATTTCGGGATTCGTTGTCTGGAGCAGGTCGGGACAGGAATCACCTCTTTTCTCGTAACGCGGCATTTTTATACGAACGAAAATGCCGCGTTCGTGGTTTTCCGTTTTCGCTCGCGTTTTCCCGTGCTTTGCGGTGTTCGGGTCTGAGTCCCAAGAAGTGGGAATCCGCGGCGATCGCTCTACTTCGGTCTCGATCGGCGGTGCTCGGTGTTACGCGGCCGTTACTGCCGCTTTGTACCTGCGAATTATGTTTGCTATTTTATCGGGCGCTATGCGCCCTCATCACTGCATCGCAATCAGCGATGCAGCGGCGTTCGGCTGGGTGGTGTTAGCCAAAACGATGGGGGATGCATCGTTACAAAATTTTGATAAATTTATCAATTTCATTAAATATAAATGACATATTCTTAAAGTATGCGAAAAATGCTTTCAAAATCACCCCTTACTTTTTAAAATTCGTTTATTTCTCGAGAAGATACAGACTTGCAAATTAATCACCATGTTCAACACGGCGAAAATTTGAACCCCTACTACTAAGCAACCGTGTGAACTGGAGTCTTAAAATTTTTACTGAAGCTTCAGTATCAGTAGGACTATCGATTATAAAAATTTCAAGAGGATTGAAAAATTTTCATTTTTCAGGGTGGATCACTTCATGCGAAATGCCCCATATACGTTGGCTCTGCGATTTATTCACCACAGATGGATTTGACCTACATGTGTAAGCTCTCTTCGTACGCCACGATTTTCACCGCTGAGGCATGGGCCATATATAATGCCCTTTTATTCGTTCTTCATAACAACATAGAACGGGCTGTTATCGTATCTGATTCTAAAAGCGTTCTTGACACGTTGAAGGGTTACTCCGACAAAACAACTGCATTATTTTCTACATTAGAGCCCTCATTGAAGAAGCAAAATTTAACAACACTTTTATTACTTTTATCTGGATCCTGTCTCACTGTGGCATAGAAGGAAATGAAATTGCGGATCAACTTGCCAAAAGAGCCATCAAAGAAGGTATTGACTCTAACTTCAAGCTTCCGTACTCGGATATATTCACCATACCTAAAAGACAGCTGGACCGTAATTTTGATCTCTACCTGAAGAATTCATCCTCTCATAAGGGTTGCTACTTTTTCGAGAACTGCTACAACAAGGATAGCAAGAATCCTTGGTTTTACGGATCTCGGCTCTCCCGCGTCATGATCACCACCTTCAATCGCCTAAGAAGTAATCACTACAACCTTAACTTCAGTCTTTTCCGGAAAAATTTAATTGAGGACCCTTCCTGTCCTTGCGATGCATCTATCCAGGACCTTGTGCATTTTGTTTTTCATTGCCCGCTCACTGATGCTCATGCTGCTCCTCTTAGGAATGCCTTACGTGACCTCATCTCAGAACCTATTCAAGATCCTTACTCCTCTATTATTCTAGCACTTAATGCACCTTCCTCTAAAATTATCCGTCTATTTGTTGCTTTTACCCATGCTTGTGATCATTCTCTATAATTCAAATTTTCGCGGCGCTCTTTCACGGACTTCGTATCGGCGCGCATGCGTCGATACACAGCATGGACATCCCCTCCCCATCCCAGCGACAAACGTCGTTTGTCGTTTATCCTCCCCGTGAGAAACACAACCTTCTTAGATTGCGTTATCCGAGACGACGTTTCCGTCTCCAGGCGCCCACCACAATTCAAGCAATACTGCATCCCTAAGGCTTGCAACCTATTTATAAGACGTGACCTGGCCGTATTGCTTCCGCTTAATGTAAGGAGGCAGGAGCCAATAACTAGGAAGAAGAAGAAGTGCAAGAACGACTATTTTTCAGGGAAAGGTGTAGAATGGTACTTAATATCATACATGTATAGCATACGTTAATTTTAAAACTATGATTGTTAATAACTTTTTAACGAAGGACGAGCGACGGCTAAAACTTGTTTGAGGTCACTTTTAGGGCTCAAAGGTCATAACTTTGGCCTCTCTTTTTATGCACTTTTACCCGCTTTATTATGTTGTACAGTGTTAACTACTACTGTCAAAAATGACATAACACAATCCATTTGTTGATGTGAAATAGTTCTCGCTTCGCGTGGAAAGTCGAAACCGTGAAGTTGTATGCCCCTTTGGAGAAATGATACATCGTTTTTAAAACTTTTTTTGTTTATAACTTTCTAACGAAGGGCGAGTGACAGCTAAAATTTGTTGGAGGTTACTCAGGGTCATGACCTTGACAACATATGTCAAGGTCAAGGTCATCGAAGGGTGGTCCCCTTTTGTCAAGGTTTACCTAATTTTGGCTGCGTAAAGTGTCAAAGCGTTTTTATTATTATTAAGGTCATAATCAAACAAACAATCGTATGCATTGTCTTTCCGTGCTCATAGTTTTTCCGTGTATTTTTGTGCATTGATTTTTGTGCCATTCCGTTCTTTAATAAAAAGCATTTCTGAAATCAGTGTCTTATTATAGTGAGACAAGCCATGTTCAAAAAAGGATACTAAAAAATTTAAACCTTTTTATCTAATAATAATATATTACCATGAAAAGTAACTGATATATTATTAATAAAGGTGCCAGTACAAAATAAACATACATAAAGTGTATGCAACTTTCGGCCGATTTCCGAATCGCTTCCGCATTCCGTTGTTCCCCTCATCTCACCTTACTACGCGCGGCCCAAATAGCGCACGATGCTCGAGCGACATTTGATCTGCGCGCGGGGCGGAGTACTGATCAACTCGTTTTTTGAAACTGCAAATTATCTTTCTTAATTGTTAATTATACTGTTTTAAATACATTGATCAAAGAGATTTTATTCATGGACTTGTTCTTTTTCTTTTATTTTCGACAAGGATTAATTATGCATACGACACCAACTTGTATTGAATTTTACTGAATTGAAATTATACTTAACGAAGAATTTTTGTAATTGTTATTCTAATGTAAAATAATTTTTAATTTTGTTACATTGAAAATGACCCGATTAGAGTCGAAACGTTTGTAGGTATATGTATGATTGTTTAAATTAAATAGTTCGTAAATTTACTTGGCTCTTTGTTCTCTTCATATTTACTTTGTTTTTAGACATATAATCTTATTATTAATTATTATTAAAGATTATTAAATTTTGCACACACTAGATAGATACTATCTGTAAGGGTTTTGCTTTTACACTGAAGAAAAACCTCATAGATTGTTAATATTAGGAATACAAACAAAAAATTCAATATAAAAAATGCTTTATTAATAAAAACATTAATAAAAACAATTTAACATGTTTTAAACTAATTTTGTTCCTCGAACAATATAGAGCTGACTGTGTAAAGGGAAACATTTGTCTTTCTTACCAATCTTTATTAATTAATGATTAATAACTTTTTAACGAATAAGGAGCGATGGCTAAAACATTCTGGACTTTATTCAGGAGAATTTCCTTTGTAACAATATGGGGTCAAGATGTTCCACAAAAAGTGAATGACTACCATAACTTCTTTTATCATATTATATGTATATGTTTTATTATCGAAGTGTAATAATGAATTTTTTCTCAGATTGTACGTAAAACTGGCACGATGATGTCAATATCGGGAGCGGATGATACCGTTTATTACGAATACAAGAAAGCTCCTGGTTCATCAACGGCAAATAAGCATCCTCTCTTTAAAAAGTTTAGAACATAAGTAGTACGATTGTCTTAATATTTTCTCAACATGACAAGTTAATAAATAATATATAAACGATTTTGTTACTATCTGGTTTAGTTCGTATAGTTCACATTCTGTTTATCGCTTGTAATGATAAAAGAAAAACTCATTTTTGTATAGTTTTTGGGCTTATATATATAATGCATGTACAGTAACTTAGTTAAAATGAAAGATTATTATAAGGTGATTAAAGCTTATAGCTCCGTTAGTTATGTCGAATATTATCTGTTTAATTATGAGGTTGACGGCGGTGTAACTAACTTAATTGTATGTAATAGAACAGCTGATACTATAATTTCTATTTGTGTTGATCATGAGAGATGTTATTTTTTACTTTTTATTAGGGTGACTGGGACAAAGCGGTATACTTAATCTTTTTCACGCCTATTAGTTCAGACTTTTACCATGGCAAGACGCTATACACACACACAAGCATGAACCCATGTCTGTGCGCTTCCCTTCTACCCGAAAATGAGCACACGGACATGAGCTTGCATTTGTGTGTATAACCAGTAGCGTACTACCAGTTTTGCTAGCCACCGACTAATTCGGTGTCGCTACCCATCAACACGGAGTTCTTGGCTGAGTATTCTGGAGCCTTAATAAACATAAAATATTAATAGCCTTTGCATTTTCAAAGTCTAAAGTTATCAACTCATAGATTGTAGATATTTATAAAGTTTTCACTTTCCACTATTTTAAATAAATTTTTGTCTTCACATTATTTCAGATGTTTAAAGCGAACTGAGTAACACTTTTCAATGTTTTATTGTACTATATGTATATGTATATGTACGTATACATATATGTATATGTATATATAATTTAAATCACATTAAATTAATTGTTAAAATATATAAATATAAGTATTACATATATATTTATGTATTATACATATATACATATATAAATCAAATTGAAAATATGTACATAAACGGTACATTTTTTCTTAATTGCAATTGTATTTTGTTTTAAATGAATTACGTCTTTGAGAAGAAGGAAATTATGTAAAAATATGTATGCGTCATTTAGAAAAGTAATACTTGCTCATAAAACATACACATATTGCTACATATAGCTACATATTCCTAAGTAGCTTTTTAAATAACATTTTACATAATAATTTTTTGACTTTAAAAAATTTTTTATACAAATGTTAATAATTTAACAAAACGTGTTAATTGTGACATGCTTCTCTCCTATAATGTTGAAAATTTTAAAAATGAGGAATTTTTTTATTACACTTCCAGCAAAAAGTGACAAAAAAAATGACAAATGTGACGTATTTTTAACAATTGTAGCAATTTGTAGGAAAATCGACAATATCAATTAAATTAATTTTTTGAATAAAATTTTTTCTAAATTTTTATTTTTACGTACTTATATTTTATCTATCAGGAGACGCGGTAGTGCTTCCGGCCATGTTCAAAAACGGAAAGACTACAAGTCTCTTATCCCGAGTCACCAAGTTCATTTTTGGGGGGTGCATAACTACTAAAATATAAAAAATGTTGAAACGGACGTTATATGTCCTGAAAGGCGGCATCACCACGAGTAATTCGACCCAAAAAAATTTTAAATCGGTCGAGCTGTTTTGAATATACTTTATCTTTATCAGGAGACGCGGTAGAGCCTCCGGCCATGTTCAAAAAGTGAAAGACACTACAAGTCTCTTATTCCGAGCCACCAAGTTCATTTTTGAGGAGGTGCATAACTATTAAAATATAAAAAATGTTGAAACGAACGTTATATGTCCTGAAAGGCGTCACGAGTAATTTGACCCAAAAAAATTTTAAATCGGTCAAGCCGTTCTGGAGATACAAGCGGTCGAAAAGTGATGATTTTAATGCAAGTTTCTGTCTGTCTGTTTGTATGTATGTCCGTATGTCCGTCCGTCCATCCATCTGAAATATGTAACTACTTAACATCTCCTCTCACCTTTTACTCACACCTCCACTATCTTCGACCCGCCGGACCTCCTTCCCCCGCCTTTCTCCCTCCCCCACCATCCACCTCCGCCACCCCTCTCTTTCGCCGTATTTCACTCTCTTTCGTTATTACAACTTTTTAACATCCTCTCTCACCTTTCACTCGCACCTCCACCATCTTCGATCCGCCGGACCTCCTCCCCCCGCCTTTCTCCCCCTCCCCACCATCCACCTCCGCCATCGCTCTCTTTCGCCGTATTTCACTCTCTTTCGTTATTACAATTTTTTAACATCCTCTCTCACCTTTCACTCGCACTTCCACCATCATTGACCCGCCGGACCTCCTACACCTGCTCCTCCTCCTCTCCCACTACCCACCCCGACCGCTCATCTTTCGTTATTACAACTTTTTAACATCCTCTTTTACCTTTCACTCACACCTCCACCATCTTTAACCCAACGAACCTCGACCCCCTCTCCCCACCATCCACCTCCACCACTCCTCTCTTTCGCCGTATTTCACTCTCTTTCGTTATTTTTTTATATACAGGGTGTCCCAGAAAGAGTGTCAAAAATTATACGAACAGGTAGAGCGGACTGAACTGGGTCGAAAAGTCCTCTACCGTTTTGCAATTTTCGAAATAGTTAACGAAATAATAATTGGTAAAAATTATCGAATACGTGCGTCCACCCGGCCTACTACTGCCAACAGTGTACGCCCATGATAGTTCGATGGCGCGCGGATCGCGGAGATCGGGGATTGCGTGGTAAGCGCGCCGCTGCACAGTGGTTTGAAATAACGAAAACGTGGCAAAAACTATAAAATTAAAAATTCGAAAATCGGTGTTATTTTATTATAAGTCGAAAGCTGAATATATATTTCTATTATAGTTTATACAAAATCAT